AACGACGGCAAGGTGTGCGAACTCGGCACGCACGACGAGCTGGTCAACCTCCCGAACGGTCTCTACGCCAACTTGGTCGCGCGTCAGATGCAGCATTAAGTTTGTGGCTTTATTAATCTGCGCGTATATGCATTTCTCACTTTTCCGCTTGGCTCATCTGTAATGCTGCCACGTCATGGGTTGAGATGGGCCGTTTCAACAATTGGAGGGGAGCTCTTGACGGTGTGCCTTGAGAGACGTCATATATGTAGAGAGTTGTTGCACGGTTGACCGTGGAGGCCTGTACTGATAGTGGATATCAAAGGTATATAAGAGATGAGGTTGTGTCACGCCCATACAAACCTGCGGCGGATGATGCGGGAGGAACCATCGTATACGAACTGTCCAGATGATGATTTTTTGTTGAAATTTGATTAAAATGCGCTCCGCGGTCGCTTACCAGCGCTTGAGCCTCTGTGCATGTAGCACTCAAAGTATAACTGTTCACGGCGCATGAAGTAGCCACTGCATGCGCACACTTTAATTGTATAGATTAGTCTTTCGAAACGCATGAAACGAATTCGGATGCGCTTCGTAAGCCAGTAAATCGTTCAATGTTAGACATGCTTGGACACACAAACATGTAAATGGAAGCCTTTCACGGCTTGCCTCAAGACAAACCTTTGCAGGCTCTTTTGCCATACACTAACAAACGTGTTGGCGTAGTTTCACCGCAATACGAGCCGCCATAAGTTTAGTACCTGCCTCATACGATGAGGAAAACCACTATCCGGAGCACTCTGCCTTGCCGTGACGAGCAGGGACCCCTTGAAAGAGCAAAGGCCGCTCCGAAAGGTTTCGTTTCGTCAGCGGAATATCTGGCGGAACTAAAGCACATCGTCCGGAAAAGATTGGCGGGTTCTGTGTGCATATCCGGATACATCCTGACCGCCGTAGCTAAGAATGATGGTCTCTACTAAGAATGATGCTCTTGGTCACCCAGCGCAACGTTCCTGCCACGTGCTCCATGACGCGGACGCGCTGCCTTCAAGTCCCTTGAAGGAATCATTGTTGCTTTCTCATTGCAACTCACAGCACCGCTTAC